CACACACACACACACACACACACACACACACACACACACACACACACACACACACACACACACACACACACACATAACAGACACACACACACACACACACACACACACACACACACACACACACACACACACACACACACACACACACACACACACACACACACACACACACACACACACACACACACACACACACACACACATATCTACGTGTATATGCATATCGAGGGTATTTGAGTAACATTTCCAGGTACTTTACTAAACCAGTGTTATTGTGTATTACAAGCTATTTTTCAGAACATTTATAAGTTATACTTTAAAAAGTGGTCGGGACATGTCCATGCTAAACAACATATCGGCCGCTACACGTCTCTCATTTCTGTTTCTTTGTTGAATGTAAAGGCATCACACCAGTTCAACAGAGTGTTTGTTCCTGTCTGCAGATCGGCTTCGTGCTGTACTCCCCCCACGGGCAGGTCTGGGATCAGTCGGATCACAACAACGTGATGTTCGTCACCATGTGCTTCTCCTGGCACCTCGCCGTCGCCATGGTTATCGTCAGCGGGATCTACGCCGCCGTCACCTGGTGAGCCAACGCTGCAAAAATAAATATATTAAATGATTGAATATTTAATTTATTATAAAACCTGAAAGTCTCCAGACTTGAGAGTTTGGAAACCATCAATTATCATAAAGAAATGTTATTATTTACTCAGTTGACTTTTCGTTGCAGATTTAGTTATTTTTTATGTTTTCAATGTTTCCCCTCCAGTTTAGTGCGCTACAGATGAGCGCAATTTATTATTATTTTTATCCTTTTTTTAAATATAAGAAAATCAGTAATTTCAATATTTTAAAACGGCTGTTTCTCAAATCTTTACAAACAAATCATCATTATTTTCTGTCAATTGTCTATTTTTTGAATGTCTTCCATGTTTTTCCTGCAGTGTGGTTCTCTCAGGATGAGAACAATGTACATGAATAACTTATATACATCTTTTTTTAAATATATTCAATACAATGTGATAAAAAACAAAGAAAAAAGCACAAAATGTCAAATGATAAAACTGCTTTTTCTGACATCTTTGCACAAAAATCATAATTTTCTGTATTTTTGACAGTTTTTCTCTCTGTTTCCTCTGCAGTGTGGTTCGCTCGCGGCTCAGACGGATTCCTCCGATGGAGATGGGACTCCTGAAGCCTCGAGACCGAGAGCCGGAGTCTGAGGACGAGATCTTATAGACCAGATCTTACAAAGACCAGATCTTATACAGACCAGATCTTAAAGACCAGATCTTATAAAGACCAGATCTTAAAGACCAGATCTTAAAGACCAGATCTTATACAGACCAGATCTTATACAGACCAGATCTTATAAAGACCAGATCTTATAAAGACCAGATCTTAAAGACCAGATCTTATACAGACCAGATCTTAAAGACCAGATCTTATAAAGACCAGATCTTATAAAGACCAGA